CCACTCCAATCCATATCCCAAGAAGCATATCATAGGCATCCAAGCGGTGAGTAGTGTCAAATACTATGGCATCACCAAAATCCTCATACAACCTCATTGATGAAGCATGAGACCAGGCAATATGCTCCAACCTGTTATTACAATCTATCTTATAGTCGTATTTGAATTTCAGGTCTTTGTCTTTCATCTCCTTGCACATTTTGAGAAGATCAATAGGGTCGTTATCCTGGTCCACATTTCTAAAAGATTGTAGGAAGTTTCGGACATCGACCTCTGTGAAGGGTAAACAACCCAACTTAACTCCCTTCTCTAGCTCCATCAACCTCAGCATTTGCCGAACTGACATCCCAGCTTTCGCAAACAAGCAAATACGACTCTTGTCATCAGGAGACATGGTGCAGTAGGCAGGAATAAGCTGCATCTCAGTTGACTTTAAAAGTTCATGGTTATGAACATTGCTGAAACCAGTAATCCGCCATTCGGGGACATTAAGATCTGCTCTTTTAACAATTCTCATGAATGCCTGGCACCCACAACGTGATGATTTTCGATTCCTTTGCAGCTTGCCATCTTCTGAAGGCTTTAGTTGTGGATAGCCACCACGATGGCATGTAAAATCCCTTCTTGTAATGCCCCTACCAACTCCATCCTTCCCCCGAGTACGATGACGTCTAATTGAGAAGCCGCATTGCTTTGCAAAGCTACAGTAAAATTCATATGCAGCGTCCTGTGATACAAACCTCTGACCAATGAAAGGTATAAGGTTCACAGACGTTTGTCGTGATAAAATTGTGTCCTCAGGCATTTCCTCAACAGTGCCAGTATCATCCTGAGATGAATCTGTCCCATTTTCAGATGTTTCTTTTGCTATGTTTGTTATCTCGAGCATTTCCCAATTCTAGAAAAGTCGGATTATGGATATGATAATACCATCTTCACATGCTATATATGCAGCCAATAATGCACAGCGAGCCAATGTTGCAGAAAGGAGAGAAAGACACAAAGAAATGATATGGATCAGAAGGCAAAAGCACAAAACTGAAAACAAAAGAAGAAAGAGTCTAGTGTCATGAAGGTTCTGAACCACTTAGATTATCATTGAAGTGCTAAAAATTAAGGCATGATCATCACGATTATTATCATGCAGCCTGTAAAAGGATATCTATTAGCAACTCTCACCAATACAACCATTGTTACAGGCTGAAAGCAGGCTTCAATTTATCAAATACTCTGTGAAGAGCAACTATACCCTGTGTTACATGGATCCTTCATTTGCCTTGATATACCCATATCTGAATGTACTTCACGAGGATTTTTCATAATACAATAAAAATAGTCAAAAAGACACTAAACATATCAATATGCTTATCCATAATCAAATCTGAACATAGATAATACCCAGGGGAACTTGTAATCACTCCTTGTAGTGAACTCTTGACAGCATCTCTTGTAGTAGACATGTTAAAGAACTGGTTCTTAAATAGTTCTTTGTCATAACTACTACCCGTTCTATTTGAGACATGTATGATATTTGGTTCTTGCATATGTTTGTTACTCCCTCTGTGACACACTTTCCTTTCTAATAAGTCTAAAAAAATGACACATTTGTATATTTAGTAGTAACAATTTAACTTTAAAATGCTTATTTCACACTTGAAAGATGATTATAGCCACACAAATATCTATGGCTTATTTTAGATGACAAGTTTCAAAATTCTTTCTTTCTTTCTTAAACTTCATGCCACGTCAAACATCACATAAATTGGGACAGAGTGAGTATGTCTTACTAATCATTTGTTAATCATCAAAACTTCATCTTGTTTAGCTCTCAGGTAGCCTCTTAAGGAGACAAAATAATTTGGAGAAGAACTGCCTATATTAATCAATTCTACTACTTGTATTTTTAGTAAATTAGTTCCTAAAGTAAAATAGAACACGAATACCATGCATGCTTTTGCACTGGCGCAGTAAGCCATTTGAATTCGCTCTATTAATACACCAATATTTCAAATTCCAGAAAAGCATAGTACAATAAATCAGATATCAGAAAAGGAAATTTTCACAAATAATCAGCACAGCACATAAAATGAGCCCGAATAGAACAGAACAGATACAGAAAATTGACATATTTGATTATCCAGTTTGTGATTATGGTATAGAACAATAGCTAGCACAGCCGGCCTGGCACATAAATCAGCTACGATACCAAATTAAGCTTCAAATACCCAAACACTCTATCTACACACGCTAAGAAAATAATAACAAGAATACCTTGTGTTGGAGAAGGCGAACACGAACGCCGGTGGGAACCACGGCGGAGCGGCACGGAACTGGCAAAGATGGAGTAGCCGGGAATCGACTGAGCAACTGTGAGATTTGAGTAAAAGCCAGGTTTACCCCCATAGTCCAGTTTTATATGTTAGGGCAAAAATGTAAATATGTAGCCTTATCTCCTTATATGATCTGCTCCGCGAGCCAAAAGGAATATTTTAATAAAAACCATACAAAGGGTATTCTAGGAAAAAAGATTTAAATATCTCTTGGAAGGTCACATTAACTTGGTAAAAAATGTCAAAATGACATATCAAGTCTCACATTTAAAATGAACAAATTTTAATTAAAATGTCTAAGTTAAAGTTGGCGTCAACTTCAGGTAACCGATGGATTCAATCTCGAAGCAATAGAGAAGAAGTTGGGGTTTTGAATTGTGATGGGTTATTTTTTGTTAAAAGACCAAAATGCCTTTCCTATTAATGACTAATGAGTTTCAATTAACTATCAGGAATACTTAAAAAGATGAATGCAACACGCAAGACCTATATATTTGTGTGAGAAGGGAAATTTAATTCGGAGTAGGGCCTAAAATACCCTTCAAACATAAGAAATGGAATAAAATTATCCTTCTTTTATCTTTGGACTCCAAAATACCTTTCCATCCACCTATGAACCTATATTACCCTTTCACTCAACAAATTCTTTAAGGTAATAATTAATTCTTTCATTAATGATGTGGCAGCCTTTAATTAGTTGAAATTTGAATTAACCAAAAAATATAATTTCACTTTGAGCCATTTGTTGGTCAATTTGGTTGGTAAATAAATTTGATAAAAATAATGAATTTGGTGAATATAAATGGTAAAGTAGAAATTGATTTGAAACAATAATAAATTCTATGTTAGTGAGAATAATCATTTTATGAGATGTAAATGGTTTAAAAAGTAAAGAAATGAATTATAAATTCTATTTACATATGAAATAAATGTGGGGTTGTTTTTACAAAATATAAATTTATGGGTCAATTTTTGTATTTGAAAAATCTCAAATCATGTTTTTTGGAGAATTTGAGATTTCATCTCGTGATATTAAATCATGTAATAAATCAACGTAAAATCACATATTTAATTATTGATTTCATATCGCGCTAAAAACCCACCATTAAAGGATGAAACAATTGTGTTAATCTAGATGTAAAATCAGTTGACATTTGTTGCAGCGATTTTGAACTAAAAAGTGAACGGTAAACGATAAATACATTGTTGTCTTTTGAATACATTCGGACACAAAATGAAGCATTGAAGAACTACGTATGAACAAATGATTTTTAGTTGTTTTGACTAATCTTAATGGATCGAATTATTAATATCTCTTAAAAATTAAATACTCTTAAAAAGATGGAATAAATGATTTTTTGTCTTTAAATTTTTAAATGACACATATTTCAGAACTTTTTTTTTAAGATGATACCTTTTTAAAACAAAGAGAATAATTTTTTTTATTTCGTCAACTCGCTTTTTTTATTTTTGTTGATCACATGGTGTCCGATAATTATACTGAACTTCGACTATCTTGAATTTACATTGTGTAGGCCCCATTCAAGAGGATACGACAATAATTTTTCATAACCAAGATTCGATTTCATCCACTACAACACATTTTTTTTATGATGTCAACTAGCTAAAATGTCTTGGGAAGTATAATTGGTGTTGGAGAACGATGTTTTGTGGGCATGAGTGTCTTTGACCAAAATTAGTGGGTTGACAATCTTTTACATTATCAATATATTTGAATCAGTCACGCTATATTATATTTTGAGGTTAATTTTATCAATGGTCACTAAGTTTAGTCTCCAAGAAAATTTAAATTATTTTCAATTCGTTAACGCACTTAACGGTAATTTAAAACAAAAGGCATAATCAATTTTCTCCGAGTAATAAATCTAAATTCAACACTTAAAGGGAAATAGCAACACCAAACCATTGTCCAAATATAAATAATTCCTTCCGTTTCAAAAAAAAAGAAAAAAGAATGACCTGATTTGACTTGACACAAATTTTATGAAAATAAAGAAGATTTTTTTCAATCTTGATTTCCTAAATTAAAATTATGTTAAATATAATAAAATGTCTTTTAATCTTGTGGTCTTAAACATGTCACGTGGAAAGCTGATATTAAAATTTTACCAAAAAAAAGTCATTCTTTTTTAAACAAACTAAAAATGAAAGTAGATCATTCTTTTTTAAATGGACGAAATAATAATTTTGGAACTTCAATGACTATGTTCAACGAATATTCTGAATAATGTGTGTGAATAATTTTGGTGTAACTAGAATAATTGTGGACTTTTCTCATCATGGGCAACCAAAATTAATTATGATTACTTTTAAGGTGACTAGATCGATACCATCGAGGTTGGCACGACATAATAATAAATCCCAAGCACCATTATTTTTCAAAAAATGTCCATAAAATTAATTTTAACACCATAGTACCAAATAGTCATAAAAACACCCTATTTAAATAATGCTGCAAATAAATAAATAAATAAAATTAAAGTGTCATCGAGTACTGGGTTGCCACTATTACAGAATCTAATCAGAAAAAAAATATTAGCCCAATTACAGCTAAAGTTCTGTTCCATGTTACAGGTGTCTCACTTTTTTAAAAATAAATAAATAAATGTTTTCTGTACTATAGTTTATTTAGAAAGCCTATTACAATAATACCATTTCACATTCCCAAATGTATTCTTGAATTTTTCTATATCCTCTTGGCAAGTTTACATTTTGCACTCTTTTATATAATATATATAGTCTACGATTACATATGGAAGAGTTCCGGCCGAGTTTCCGGTGTTCCGATGACCGGAGATTGGAGATAGTAAGCGGAAAGGGGTTCAACATCAACCAGGTAATTAGTAACGCGAATGTTCAACAGAACTAGTATTTTTTTTAAATACGAACCAAAGATAAATATATGACTAATGACATGACAAACTTTTTTATTTCGAACCCATAATTTCGAAGAACTTTAAATAACACCCCTTAAGTTGCGAAGTTAGGTGTGCGAGGGGTTTATTTGAGTGTCTACATGGTCAAAATAAGTTTATCTAAATGTTGCTTTTTTCGTGTATTTATATTTTGAATTTCTTTAATGAAAATTCTGATTCTGCTGCTGTTCACCTATATAGGTAAATCGGGCTCGGTCACCGGATCTGGATGGGGTAACGAGCAAGGGGACGTGGCCGAGCCAGGTGGCAGCAGCGCCGTCGTCGAATAAGCCATGGGGATTCAATGATCCAGAGATGAAGAGACGAAAGAGAATAGCTAAGTACAAAGTTTACACTATTGAAGGAAAGGTCAAAACTTCAATTAGAAATGGACTAAGGTGGTTCAAAAATAAATGCTCTGAAATCATCCATGGATATTGATTAATTATCCTTTCCGACTCTACTAACACGAGATGTTTTGTGCATCGAAATATCCTGTCTAGTCTCTTCTTTCTCAAAATGATCTGATTGAGGAAGGTGGAAAACATAGAGGTGGCAGGTCTAATTTCATATAGTACTTAGGATGTTTTTTTTTTCTTTTTCAAATTGAAATTCTTATTTGTTTGCACGCATGTCATTTAATCATGTTTAACAATTGAGATTATTTTTTCCCTTAGAAGCTTTAAGTCATTATTCCTCTAGTTAATGGTTTGCCAACATTTGTTGTTATGATTTTTCATGCCTTTTTTTATTATCAAATCTATGAAATTGATTTATCATTTTTCAAAATATAGGTAACTTTAATACATTGACTTTGATAGTAGATTTATAAAATTAAAGACCCAACTTGGGCTAAAATTGGCAATGAATATGATTTTTGATATGCAACTTTTTTTATTTGTCATCATAATAATTGGTTTGGAACTTCAAGTTGACCAAACTGGCCATCAATTTGGAGGATCAAAGGGTACTCTAATTTAGTCTTCAATTTTTTTTTATTTAGCTTTCAATTTGTTTGTCAGTTTATAAGCCAAACAGAAGAAGTGGTTTGTAATGATTCTGAAGGTTATTTATTTTTATGATTTTTGGTTCTTTTTCCATATTTAATCCTTTGCATAGTTTTGATTAGCTGTTTATGAATTGCAAGGATGGGTGACACGATTTAGTAATAGCAATATATATAAAACATTTGATTAAGTCAGTGCAAACATCGAGTAGTAGGATAGGAGAGTAGAAATGAGGTATCTAGTAAAATAGGAGTGCAACAATTGTATCTTAACAAAAAAAACTCTCTTAGATTTGGATACATATTCTTTACGATGTGATCCATCGTATTTTCCCTTAGCACATTTAAAACAAACATAATGAAAGAAAAATTCAAATATTTTGGATTTTCTTTCACTAGTTTCTTGATGTAGAAAAAATAAATTCTGCTCCTTTTGGAATTAATTAACAGTAGATATCTAAGAGACATTAAAGCAAAAGGCAGTGATATTTCTACGTTAATTCTGAAATATTATGCCTTTTGCTAAAAAAAACGTACTTAAATTAAATTAAGTATTACTACTACAAAATGAAGGAAATTAATTTAATCGTTACGATTATGTCCGTTCATGCCTTCTATGTGTTTGATTAATTGCCTGAATCACTTTTGAAGCCTCATTTGTTCGTAAAATTGAGCAATGAAACTCTCTGCCTTTGCATCAATCATGTCATCTCCTCCAATGGCATCAAATACCTGATCAGGATCTTCCTCCTCCTCCTCCTCATCGTCGTCGTTGTAGAGATCTTGTAGATTATTTGCTGAAGCATATTGACTCATGGTGCCAATGGAGGACGTTGAGGGGGTTGGAGAGTACAACGACGAAAAATGTTCACTGAATTCTACAGGCAGTGATGTAGATTTCACAGGTGGTGGTGGTTGCGGGTCACGAGGACTCGGTGGTGATTGGTTGTCTTGGAGATGTAAAGGCCTCATGGACCCTACCAGTTTTTTCCAATTTTCTCCCTTTGAATCAGCAGGGGGAGCGGGTTCCTGTAGTACGATATTCAGAATTTAAAATCAGTGAATGTACGTACGACTGACTATATGTCAACTCAATAATGAAAATTTTCTAGCGTACCGGGGTAAATTTCTGTTGCTTTAGATCAAGGGAACGACGACGAAGCTTGAGTGATGCAGCTCTGAGGAAGCCAAAAGCACCCTGCTTTTTCTTCTGTTTGACAATACTGTTATCAACCGGAGATTTATTATTGTTGTCAATGTTGACGTTGGTGTTGGTTGAGTTCATGACTACCTCTTCCGTCATTCTATGGAGGAGAATGTTCCACGAAAAATATGGTTTCGCTCTGTTTGTCAACGAACGATGGTGCACGTAGTTATTAATTTGCCCTCCCTGCAATGCAGGTCGAGTTGTTTATAGAGACGTTGCGAAGAAATGAACCTTCTTTTGTTGTATATATATAGAGATGCTATAAAAAGGGAAGGTAGAATTTGTAATGTTTGGTGTTTCATACTTTGTTGAATAATTAGTTACGGTATAACTATATAACCACCTCAGGATATTTGTGTGGTTTACAACCTAGCTAGCTAGGAGTAAGTTGGAACATAAAACTACTAGAATGCCTATTATAACCATAAAAAAAAAAAGGCTTATTAACTCGTGTTCTGAAACAAGTTATTCCCTTCGATCCAAAATAGTGGACAAGGTTCGAAAGGTACATAGTTTAAATTTATGATGTGCACCTAATTACCAATACATCATACATTGCACGTCTAGCCTTGTAACATTATTAAAACTCAAGATCACTTATGTTGGATGAGAGAAGCAAAACGCTTTATCACATCTTTAGCTTTCTCAACTTGAGGATTCTTTACAAAGAAGCAATGTTCTTCACCTTCAACTTCAAGAAACTCCAATTCACCATTCCATCCACTTTTCTTCACACCTTCAACAAATCGAATCATAATTTCTCGAGGAACCAATACATCTTTCTCAGCTATAACCATAAACAACCGCGAGCAACCTAGGCTCGATAGACTTGGAGCCTTTTCAGCAAGTGGATTAATCATTGGACTATCAATTGGTGAGTATCTATATTCCATTTGACATATGGTGATCCAAACTTGGTAAGCCAGATTATTCTCCATATCAAGACTATCGTCTTGCATCAAAAAGAAGGGACACGCAAGAATGCAGCCCATTATTTTAACGTCTCCGTTTAAACTTTCTTTGCCAGCTCTCATAGCCATGTGATAGGCTATGTTACCTGTTACAAAAATTATATAAGCGAGGGTTGCTCAAATGGTAAGCAGCTTCCACCTTCAACCCTGAGGTTGTAAATTCGAGTTATCAACAGAGCAAGAAATGTGGAAGGGGTTCGAGTCATAAGGGAGGTGGGAGCTTCTAGAATGAAGTTAAAAAAACACAAAAGGCATGAACTTATAGAGGTTAAAAAAATTGCCTTGTATGTATATATAAGGTATTTTTTTTTTAATGTATTTATATAGATTTTGATTTGTACAAAAGATTAGTCGAGGTTGCTTAGCCGTTCACGAGGGATTCAAAATTCACCTTGAGGTTTCAAGTTCAAATCTCAAATTCTCTTCTTCTTTATATATATATTACGAGTCTAAAATTGATTGGGAATGGACTTCAAGTTAGTTAAAAGAAATAATTTTGAATTTTGTGACATAATTTAAAAATGAAGACAATCTACTATAATGTCATTTGAATACAATAATCTTAAACATGGCAGATGAGATGTTATAATTAATCAAAAGTTACTAACTATAACATTATTTCTATAACAAACTAAAAAATAAGACACGTAAATTGAAACAGAGTTACCTCCAGCGCTTTCTCCACCAATGAACACCCTGTTAAAATCAGCACAGCTAGTTAACCATGAGTCTTTACTAGTATTACTGGATCCATTGTTATGATGACTAGCCACCCATTGAAGTCCGGTCCAACAATCTTCGTACAATATTGACAAATCATTCTCTGGGGCTAACCTATACTCTACTGAGACACAAATCGCATTAGATTTGGAAACCAAGTGATTCAGAAAATAATGCACCTCGTTGAAAAAAGCAGATCCAAGTACAAGTCCGCCACCATGATAAAATACTAATACAGGAAGTTTTTCGTTACAAGTAACATTAGTATTTTTTGGAAGGTAGAGTCTAGCAGAAACGTGAGATGAAATGGTAATGTCTTTCGAGGAGACCCCCGTGGCTGGATCTTCCAACGATGGAGGAACATAGAACATGTTGAAATTTTCGTTGAAACGTTCTACGCGGCCATTTTTGTATAGTCGGAAAACGGGATGGAGATCGACGATTACCTCGTTGTTCTCTGAAGCCATGGCAGCAGAGAGCTAGGAACGATATATTTTTGTGATTTCTTTTTGGGTAATTTTGCAATGTTGAGACGTGGAAGACATTATCAGTCATCGTGCACAGTACTTCAATTTTTTTTTGTAATATTTAAAGTTTTCTTGGAGTATTAATGGATATTATATTTTTTTTTATTAAATGTGTCAAATCATATTTTCGGATAAAATCCTATTGTAGAAGTGTATAAATTATTGGCGGAATGACTTGAAAGGTTTTGTAGTTGGCTCCATTTGTCAGTTAGCTCTTTTTTGTTTAATTGTTTTAAAAATATTTTTAAATATAAAATATTATATTCACTCGTCGTAAGACGTATGCAATCACTCTTTTTTTTAAATCAGCAATGTGAATGTCACATAAGCTTGATCAATGGTCAGGGGTGTTTAAAATATTGTGTTTCAATGAATTTAAAGATTCAGTTGACAAAATCGTGAGTATAAGGGTCCAACTGACAAACGGAGCGCCAAGTATGAAGGCCTACCAGGTCATTCCACCTAAATTATTTATATTGGATTTGATAAGTATTGTTTTGATAAATATTAACTATTATATCGAAAGTGTTATTTGTTTTGAATAAGTTATATTTATTGATAATTATATTCTTAAGAATTAAACGGTTTAAAAATAACGATTGTTGAATATTTTGTATTTTAATACTAAGTTGTTACTTGTTAGCCCTGATATATTTAAGAAAAGGTTTACATTGAAATTTGGATTATGAACACTGATCCGAATAAAAGAAATTGAGACTAACATACTATAAACCTACATTTAAATATCAAATGTTTTGGGAGTTAATTGTGTTCACCAAAATTGACTTAAGATAGATTTTACTCTCTCTATTTCAAAGTAATTAAATTGTTGAGGTGTTTTACATTAGGAATGTACAAAACCGAATCGAAAAGCGAACCAAATCGCAAATCGAACAAAAAACCCGACTAGTGATTTGGTTTGACTTGGTTTGGTATTAAAAAAAAAAACCAACTATATTTGGGTTGGTTTGGTTTTAACTAAAAAAACAACAACCCGAGACCAAACCAATCCGACATTATATATGTAATTTTAAAATTTTATTTTATACATAAAAATATTTACATTGATATAATTTTAAAATATTTCTTATACTATTTCATAGTTTTTATCTTTTAATATATTATTTCAAGTTTAAAACTTAGAATTCGGAATGGTCCAATAAAGATTATAGTTCATAGATGCTGATAATTATAATAAAACTTAAATCAAAATCAAATTAATACTAATGCAAAAAGAAAATCAATTCAACACTAAGAATGACAATAATATTGAATATTTGTTCTTTAGTTTTACATTGGTTTAGACAATTAAAATACATAATCTAATTTTAATTTTCCTTAAATATTTAGTAATGTAACTAATACTTATTAAACTTATTTTAGCATGATTTAGTACTTTTAAATTATGATCATTTTCATTATGACTTGTTAATTTGCAATATTTGTTTTACGCGATTTCATTATTATTATTTTT